AAGAAGCAACTCATCTATGAACTGAGGCCTACATGGGATGCCAGTATCACAGGTGGTGGCTTTACCTTCTAGCCCTAATTAAGTCACCTTGTAATTCCATTGTCCATGAAGTTTTTTATGTACCCTCATGTACTAGTAGCAAAGATGTGCACAGCAGCGCCGCTGTCTGGCAGATCTGGCCAAGTTGCTGGGCAGTTGTATGTATTGATGGATGAGTGCTCTGAGTATATAGCCTGAACGTGTCAACTCCTGAGGGCGAGGAGGGCTGCTTAGTGAACTGAAATACTACGCTGTCAAAACTTGCTCACTCATAATTCAGTCATGGGACATTCTTCCCCAGTGCTGTCGTGCAAGTCATTACATTCAGAATTAAACATGGTATAACAGAGCAGTCGACAAGACCCAGAGGCTCTATCGGCATGTCAGGGATCACATTAACAATCAGCCTTTCCATGCAGAGAATAGGAGAAAGCCCGCCAAACCACGCCTGCTTTCCTTCACTCGGAATGCCGGCCATCCCTGCCTCTTGTGGTCTGGCTTCCATACGTTGGTCTGGAGATGTCTGTCCCTGCTCTAATAACAGCTGTCTCGCCTTTCTTCCTTTCCCCATTGGAGGCTGACTTCATTTTAGAGAGCTACCAACTCAAGTCTGCCTCAGTAGCAAAATCTTCCCACGAGCTCCACTCTGCACGATCTTTGTTGTCTCAGCTCAGATGCTAACCCTAATCTAACGAGCGCGCTTGGACGGGGAAAATTGGAATTGACAAGTTGTTTTAGGTGCAAAACAATTTTGAGATCCGTATAGTTGTTTCATCACAATTATTGCACGTATTTTTGTTGAAGACTCCTCAGCTACGTGAAATTTTAAAAGTTTTGCATCACAGGAAATCAACTTTGGCTCTGATTCTCTTTGAAGTGCCCTCATACTTATAACTCACAAATCTACTACGCCATTGTGAATCTCTTGCTGGTCTTTGGCCTTTTAGCCCTATACGTTTCCTGAATTATTGTTTGGGCTTCCTTCCTGTTCTTTATTCCCTTCCAGCAGCCTCCACCCTACCCGACGGCGGCAGCACGAGGCACAGCAAACAGAGGCTTTCTGCCGTTATACTGCTGCTTTAAACCGTGTCCTCACCTCTCACCAGTTATGTGATAACATGTGTGTGACACCCGCCCTGAGCTTCCTGGCTGTGAAGACTTCCTCTCCGTGTTTTTGTAAGGATCCTAGGAGACAACCCTTCACACCTGCATGCCTCTCACTTAACATCCATCCCTGACCTCAGCAACTCTGATCAACTTCCAGGGTGTGGAGACTGGATACGTCAGCCACAAAACCAACATCAGGAAAAGTACAACCAATTTCCTAGGTTTTTCAGTATTCTCTTTATTGTGCAGAATTCAACTAGCTGACTTTAAAAAAAATTCACGTTGATTGTCTAACAGTGCAGGTGTTCAGTCTTAATTGAATAACATATTTCTCCTTGGAAAGAAAAACTTAGTAATGGTATTTTCTTCCAAACCCCAAGATTCAGACATTATCTATAGCAAATTACCCCTTAATTAAATAAAACATCATCTCCTCTAAGGAAGGGGTTGATAAACTAAGATTTTAAGGATCATGTAGAAGATATTTTAGGGATTTGGTGCAGGCAGCCAGCTCCCTTGGGTCCCCAGGCTGCAGTGTGCTGGCTTCTCCTCCAAAGGACAGCTGGAAATCGCCATGATCATTGCCGATTCAGAACACCTAAAGTTGTGATTGCACATGTGGCAGATTGCAAGCAATTCTGCAGTGACCAATACTGCCTTTAGTAAGAGTAAATTATATTGTTGCCTGTGTTTTAACCTGCACAAGTTCTCCTGACAGAATAATCAATAAACCCAGAGGTTTTGAATTTGGACTAAGCTGGCCTTTGCAGTGCTGTGGGTGACTGGTGAGCTCCTCCTGATTTTGCAGGGCTGGAGGACTTCTTAGAGGAATCAGAAGCCTAGAGCGAGGGAGAAAGAGCAGCAGCCTCCCCTTGGGAGCTGTCCTCCTTGTCCCTGACTGTGACCACAGGGGTCTGTGCTATAAGGGTCAGAGCCAGCTGGCCTGCCTTCCCGTTGAAAAGGAAACACCTCTCTTCAAGTGCAGAATGACAGGCAAGAAAAAACATACTCTTCTTCCTCTTGCTTTTGTTAGGTTGAAAACACAAACAACACAGCCCTTCCTGTGTGCCCTGCCTTCAGCTTTTGGGATGAAATAAAATCTGTTTTCTTTCTGTGAAGAATCAAAGCAGTGGAAACTCTGACAGTTCAGCCGTTTGTCACAAATTGTGCTGATGATTAATCATGGAATCATTAGAATCTGACAGTTCTCACCAGTTCCAAAGCATTTCAAAACACCAGCAAGTATCCCAGGTATTACTGCTTCGATCCCAGACTTCCAAGTCCAGCTGGTCCACGTGTGAACTCTGCCACTCAACAGGCACATCATGCTGGGCTAAGAGACTCCTGACCCTGGGTCTTAGGGTCCTGATTTGTTGGGGACCCTAAGGTTGGAGTGACAATCATGATGTCTTCTTCACTGTTTGTGTTGTGAGATTAAAGAGTGTGGAAACACAAAAAACACTTTAGAGAATAATTTTTTTCTGGGAAAGATAAGCTCTGTGAGCGCAGGACTTCTTGTCCTTCGGTTCATGTTGCACTCCGAGCACTTAGAATCATGCTTAGCACTTAGGAGGCAACAGTGCTATAGGGATGAAAAATGTTCGCAGAAATGAGGTTCTTGCATTAGGTTCTGAGTGGTTTCAAGCCAGCATAAACAAACATGGCTGATCTTTTCACTATCTCTGCATCCCATCAATTTCACCTGAAATTGAACAAGCAGGGAGCCTAAGCGAGGAAGCAAAGGGTGGAGTCGTTTCTCGGTCATTCTCTTACACGTGTGTTTTCGGGGAGACTCCTTGAAGACTGAGCCAAGAACACTGCTTAAACACTGAAACGCCTTGGCAAGCAATCATTTGTAAGGCTTTATGGTACTGATGCTGATAATTTCATGTATCCATTCTGGGTGGTAACGAGGCGTCACAGAATTACACAGCAGTAATTTATACCAGCACCTCCTGGAATGCTCCTTCTCTGATAATATGCCAGACCTCAGAAATTAGAGAAATGAAAGCGTTGGATTACATGGTTGAATGTGGAATCCTATGCATGGTCTATATAAGATGATTGTAAGTTTTGCCGGTAAAGGTTCTTTTTCTCATAAACAAACTCAAGTTCTTCTATAGACATGTCTGATACGTTTCTCAAGGCAGGGAGAGTGAATCTATCCCTCTCCTGGGAAAGTTGTTAAAAGAAAACTTGACAGTGTGAGCTAAAATGTTAAAGGATGCTGTGAGGTTGACTTTCTCTACATGATTCAGCAGCTCATTGATAAAATTCAGTTTGACTCTTAAAAAACAACTTTTAAAATATTTATGTTGAGATGACAAATGTGTGTTGAGTACCTCTTACGTGAAATGTTAGGGACACTTTTATCCCTGTTATTGCTACTACTCATGGGTAATGATCATCTAGTCCTCATTGTGTTCCCTTTAGAGCCACACGGGCACACGCTAGCATTTATTTCCACAGGAAGATGTTGGACACTCTTTTGCACCACCCTTTGTTGCAAGTTCAATAACACCATGGAAATGAAGATCCACTGTTGGTTTTTTTCTTTCTCAACCCGTGTTGGACTGTACCTAAGAGGGTGCATAGTGGAAGCACAAAAAATAAGTATGTTCATAGGTAGAAACAGAGGGAAATATGTCCCTGTGCATGCAGTGCAAGGAAGGACTCACAGAGAAATGGCAGCGAATCTCCTACGTTGTTGGGAAACACCTCGGTGGCGGTGTGATGGACTTCTGAGGGTACATGAAAGACAGCTATTGCAAGACTGGAGGGGAGAATAATGGAGAGGGGAGGGAACATGGAAGAGGGAGCGGAGACCCCAGTGCCTATTAAACTATGCCATAAAATAAAAAAAGGAATATTAGGGACAAGAGGAGTTTCAGATTTGGGAGCATTTGAGATGTTTGGACGTGGGCTGGCCAACTTTGACATCAATGATTATGAACATAGAACGATGGCAAAATGCCCCCCCCCCATGTTGAGTTTTCCACTAAAATAGCAATTAAGTATTTTCACAACTTGTTGTGCTTGCAAAACTACATGAAAACTCTATTACATGTACTCAGTCCATCATACTTTGGGATGAATACTGCTGTCATGTACATTCACTCGTCTGCTAGAAGCTGCAAGGGTGACAAGCCGCAGACCCAAGATTCAAACCCAGATCATTGGCCACTAGAGCATCAACTCTTAATCCGTCCTGACACAGCCTGAATCACTGATGGAAGTGACCAAAACATGTTTTTAGTTTGGATATCGAAATGGTCATACATGGACAATCTATCAGCACTACTGTGTTAGAGGTAACATCACAACAAACCAAGAAGTGTGGTCCTAAAAATACTGTCATGAGCAAGTATTGCCTTGACCTGATTAAACCATCCTAATGTTTCAAAGGATAGAATTTCAGCGAATGATAACCATCTGGTGGCCTATAAAATTTGTGTTTGTGTTTAAATACATGTTCCTACATCTTCACTGAATTCATTGCTTAATCAACTTCTGTGGCTGGAATATGGTTTGTCCTTTCTGAAGCTCGTGTTGAAATTAAACCCCCTTTGCAAGGCATCAACAGGGTGGAAACCTGATCCAACTGCAGTATGTTGAGATGAGGCCCTTGGGGAACCAAAGTATAAGGATCCCCACTGCTGAGAACGGATGGCGTTATAAGAAGACGGAAGTAATGCAGAAGACATACACTCCGTCTTCCACCATGCAGCTAGTGGGCAGCAAATACGAAGTTCAATTCTGAATTTTATGATGGCAAAGTTAGGGGACTATTTCTCTCAGGGAGGATCAAGATGGTTGTGAAGTCTACTCAATGCTGTTCTGTCTTTCTTCTCTAGGTCGCTACCCTCAGGAGAACAAGGGGACATACATCCCAGTGCCCATAGTCTCAGAGCTGCAACATGGAAAGTGGGGTGCCAAGGTCATCATGAGAGAGGACAGGTCTGTTCGGCTGTCCATCCAGTCTGCACCCGACTGCATCGTGGGTAAATTCCGCATGTATGTCGCAGTGTGGACCCCGTATGGAATACTCCGAACCCTCCGAAACCCAGAGACAGACACATACATTCTCTTCAATCCCTGGTGCGAAGGTAAGGGAGCAAACGCTGAATTTTTTTAAAGATTTATTTTATTTTTATTTTTATTGGAAAGGCGGATATACAGAGAGGAGAGACAGAGAGGGAGATCTTCCGTCCGATGATTCACTCCCCAAGTGAGCGCAACAGCCGATACTATGCCGATCCGAAGCCAGGAGCCTCTTCCGGGTCTCCCACGCGGGTGCAGGTTCCCAAAGCTTTGGGCCGTCCTCGACTGCTTTCCCAGGCCACGGGCAGGGAGCTGGAAGGGAAGTGGGGCTGCTGGGATTAGAACCGGCGCCCATATGGGATCCCAGGTGTGCAAGGCAAGGACCTTAACCACTGTGCCATCGCGCCGGGCCCACGCTGAATTTTCTCTTAAGAAAGAGTCTATGATCTTCCTCTCTGTCTCTCCTCCTCTCCGTATATCTGACTTTCCAATAAAAATTAATAAATCTTTTTTAAAAAGAAGAAAGAAAAAGTCTTCCTATTTCTGATGCATCTCATCTTGGAAGACAGTGGGACCCTTTTTTTTTTTTTCATAATTAAGAGAGAACACACATAATGTGTCCTCGGTCTACGTGAGGATAAAACCCACAAGAATGAGGTTAAGGCTGCTCCCCCTCTGTCCCAGGAACTAACTGAAGCTTGCCCTAAGTCACACAATTAGCTAATAAGTAGAATTACGCACTGGTGCAATAGCCTTTGTCCTACTGCTCTGCAAACAAACTGGAAGTACGAAACTTGCCTTTCAAAACTATTAGAATTATGTCTCCGCTTTTAGAAAAATAGATAAGTCAATTCAACCCTTAGTTGAACTAATGTGTCCATTTGTCTAGTTTAAGACCAGAAAGTCCATAGAATTTCAGAGGCTATTTATGTGCATCGTGGATATTTCATAAATCATAACACTGGATGTGCAAGCATGGAACTGCAATTTAATGCAATATAACTTAATCTCTGATGCTATTTTGAGTCTTCCTTTTAGTCTATTCTAGCAGCTTAATCTACTTATATTCAAATAAACTCAGTCAAGTTTAGTAATTTCTCTGTCATTTCAGTTGCACTTGGGATTTCTCCCCCTCCTCATGCATTCCTTATCCTGCCTTCTGCCGCTGTCGTTGTTGGTAGGGGGCTGATTGCTAATCAATGAGGAAGTATCCATTTGTCGTCATTGGAAATGAGGCAATGAAATATATGAATGTTGAGATAGAGGCAGAGACCTGTTTGTAGTTTTATCCCTTAAAAAAAAAAAAGATTTAGTTCATATATTTGAGAGGCAAAGAAAGAAGGAGAGACAGAATTCTTCCACGTAGTGGTTCACTCTGAAATGGCCTCAAAGACCAGGGCTGGGGCCAAACAGAAACCAGGAGCCAGGAGCCTCTTCTGGTTCTCCCACGTGGGTGCAGGGGCCCAAGCACTGGGCCATCTTCTGCCACTTTCCCAGGATCATTAGCAGGAAGCCAGACAGGAAGTGAAGCAGCCAGGTCTCAAAAGGGCACCCGTATGGGATGATGGCATTGCAGGCACTGGCTTCCTGTGCTGCATCACAGGGCCAGCCCCTAAAGATTTGTTTGTTTGAGAGAAGAGAGATCCTCCACCCCCCATTTCACTCCTCATGGCTGGGCCAGGCTCAAGTCAGGAGCCACGAACTCTATTTGGGTCTCCCATGTGGATTGCAGGGGCCGAAACAGCTGAGCATTTTCTGTTGCCTTCTTGGGCACATGAGCGGGAAGCTGGACTGGGGGCTGAGCAGCTGGGACTTGAACCGGTGCTATAAATAGGCTGCCAGTGTTGGAAGCAGCAGCTTAGTCCATGCTGCCACAACACAGACCCGGGGACAGAGTCATTTCATATCATCCCTTCCAACACGCATTGCTCTCTAGTATCTTCTAATTATTTTTTATTGTAGCTGATTTTGCGTGACTTCTGTTTCAGAACTGCTAAACCTGAATGCTACAGACCCTTTCTTTGAGTTGTCTGCCCCCATAATCACTGTAGATAACACCAAGGTACTCCATGCATTCTCTGCCTGTCCTACCCTTGTCATCCTGCATCAAACACAACTCTCCCTGAGACACCACGATGGGTGGCAGCAGGCAATGATAACTGAGCCGTGTGTATTTCAAAGACAAACTCTTATATATACATGCTCTTCCTTGACCAGGCAGGGGCACAGCTGGATGATGGGAGGCTGTTTGTGCAGACAGAAAAGACTGGGAAAGTGGAGGTGTAGGGAAACACTGAGGTAGTGAGACTGTAAGTGGAAGCTTGCTGCAGATACCCAAAGCGAAGTGACAACTATGCATGTGAATCCAGGGAGCACAATCAGAGTTGCGCATCTGGAAACTGTCACACCAGCGAGGAGGAGTTGGAATGCAGGACTGAGCCCTCCAAGCACCAGCATTTAGGAGTCTAAGAGAGAAGGAATTCTCCCAGGAAGCTGAGGTGATCTATTTTAAGAAATTCATATTTTTAAAATCCATAGTTATTAAATAAATAAACCCAGAGTTTGCTATTGATTTTCTTTGCATTACGAAAAGAAACGCACAGGCCTCATATAACCATCCAGCTCTCTGGAGTATTACAAAAAATGATACAGCTCACCTGCAATTGATTTGTTCATACCATTACTATCATCTGTGCTTGATGGGATGCATGTATGCGTGCGTTCCATCTTATGTGACCACTCCTCCTGAACTGAAAATGACATTTTGACTTAAACAGAGAGCACTGAGGTGTCTGGTAACCATCTGCTAATTGTTGCGGAGGTCTTTGGTTGTGTCTATGGTGAGCAGTTGCCAAGTGTCTTGTTCATCAGCCATAGAAGTAACATTGTCCCTGCACCAGATCCGGCGTTACAATAGAGGGACCTCCTCTCGTTATCTTCTTGCATAAAAAGGATTAGAGGGATGTGAGACTCAAGCCAAAGACAGCAGTGGAAGATGTGGTCCCAAACAAAACTGGAAATAGATGGGCCACAATGGCTGCAACGGAAATGAGAAGGGAGCGGATTGAAGACCTATTCTTATTTGTAGTGTAGATGACAGGGGATGTGAAACTCCAATGGAGAAGCCAAGAGCTACACTCTCAAGTCTGATATCACCTACTACTAGCGTCATGATGCCCTTTCTGGGGGGAAATCTTGGGTGGGGGTGGGGGGATGTATGCAGAGGCAATGGTCTGAATGTGGAACTGACAGCAGTGTGGGGGAAATGTTAGTTAATGTTATCTGTCAGACCTCGAACTAAAAAATGTCAAGAAGACATTGAGATAAGTGAATTGCATCCAGGATCGTCAACAAAGTTGAGACAGAGAAGACGCCAGAAAAAGAGCCTGAGAAGTTGGAGGGATGCAAGGCAATCACAAGACGCTGAATATCAATCTTCCATTTGATTCAAGAGTACTGCAATGAACTGTGTTGATTAGGTGGGCTAAGACAAGAAAGAGGTCATACCTTGTGGAAGTATGGGAACCATAGGTCATCTTTTTTTTGGTTTTTGTTTGTTTGTTTTATTTATTTGTTTTAATTGTTATTAACATTGTATCATGTGATACAGTTTTATAGGCATTGGGATTCTCCCCACCCCTCCCACAACCCTCCCCCCATAGTGGATTCCTCCACCTTGCTGCATAACCACAGTTCAAGTTCAGTTGAGATTCCTTCATTGCAAGCATATACCTAGCATAAAGTCCAGCATCTTATTGTCCAGATAAGTTCAGTGGCTTCTTGGGAAAACCTTCTCTGGTCTGAAGGTAGATCTAACAGAGTAAAGTTCCCAACAAAACATGTTATGGAATTAATTGACATAGTATTGAGTAAACAATATGTTAAAAATAATGCAAGTTCAATTCTTCAAAACACCTGGGTTGAGACAGTATCAGTGACAGGTTCAAAAAGTAACAAACAACCAAACAAAAATTACAGGTTAAATCAAGGCAAACATGTGGTATCTAACCTTTTGGGATTCGCTCATTTCCCTTAGCATTATAGTTTCCAGTTGGGCCCATTTAGCCACAAAGAACTGCATTTTGTTTTTTTTTTTTTAATAGCTGAGTAGTATTCCATGGAGTAGATGAACCAAAGCTTTCTTATCCAATCTTCTGCTGATGGGCATTTTGGTTGCTTCCATGTTTTTGCAATTACTGATTGTGCTGCTATGAACATAGGGGTGCATGGAGATTAGCCCACTATCTCCTACATAGTGAGAGAAGATCTTCTCCCATTCTGTGGGTTGCTTTTTTACTTTGCTGATTGTTTCCCTTGCTGTACAGAAGCTTCTTAGTTTGATGAGGTCCCATTTGTTTATTCTGTTCTTAACTGCTATTGCTTTTGGCGTCCTTCTTAGAAAGTCAGGACCTACTCCTAGGTCTTGCAGGGTATTTCCAACATTTTCTTCCAAGAGTTTGAAGGTTTCTGGATGTAGGTTTAGGTCTTTTATCCATGTAGATTGGATCTTAGTGTAACCATAGGTCATCTTAAAAAGAACAGTTTCTTTCAAACTAAAAGGACACAAGCTAAGACGAACACCAGTGCCTTCATAAATAAGACTTTCTGCAGAACCTGGATTATTTTTGAAAAACACTGACAGTGAGAAAGCCCACTGGTTCACTCTCCAAATGGTGACTGCAGCCATATCTAAGCTAGCTTGATGTCAGGAACTGGGAATTCCATTTGTGTCTCTCTCATATCTATGCCAAGGACCCAAGTACTTGGTCCACCATCTATTGCCTCCCAGACTCATTAGCAGGAAGGTGAGTCAGAAGTGGAGCAGCAAGGACTGAAACTGTTTCTCACATGAGTGACTGGTGTTACAAGCAGGGGGTTAACTGGCTACATGACAGTGCCTCCTGAGAATGTTTTAAAGATGTGCGAGAGTGGGGGTGATTTTGTGGTCATGAGGATGAACCCAGAAGAGAGGAGCATGCTGCTGAGAGCAGGGCAGTAGTTCACAACCTTGTCGGCACGTGGCGATCGTCTGGGAAGCTTTACAAGCTGGTGCTGTCTCCGTACC